ATGATATTATTTTAGGCTGCTCAGTACATATCCTTAGAAACATTTTTCAAACACAGTTAGTACTATGGTAACCTTAATATAGATGTACATTCATTGTATATGTGGCCTTTTCAGTTTTACCACAGAGTAATTATTTCATTCACAATAATATCAGTTTTCCATATCTAGTCATTAATTGTACTATTGTACATAGCAGGAATAAATTGGTAAAAATTAGTATTATAGGTATACATCAAATGCTCTATTTACTTCATTGTAATAATTATTACCACTGTTAGATATTAAATACACATTGCACGTTGTACTGCTGTCTGCATGTACTTACTAAGTTCAATAACTTCTGTATCTGCTCTATATGATGTTCCTCCTCCAAACTCAATTACCCAGTTAGTGGTTGGAGTCATATTCCACACTGAGAGAGAATGCCAGTATCTCCCAGTGACATTGACTGGTAGATTGATCTATGAAATTAAAATAATTTGCACAGTGTACATGTATATACACATCAAAGTGTAGTTAACAAAAATTAAATAGAATAATAAATTGCGTAATAGGGAATAATTTGTTACTAAAAATGCAGTACATGTACATCTAGATAGCATCAAGATATTTTTGGGTCGCCAAGTAAATTTACAAATCATGGATTTGTAAGATTTCATGTAGTAACTTTTTTGCCAATAAGTTGTAAGCTATACACCATGTGGCAATGAAGATACAAACTTTCACAATTCATCTTCACAATGGAGCAAAAAAGCAAATAAGTGATGATTTAGCAACTCAAGAATTTCCCAGTGTTATATATGCATTACATCTCAATAATGAGATGCATGCATAAAATATATCTTTTACTTAGATTTGATATCTCCCTTGGGCCTTTAGCCCTTGGGTACATGTGGATTATTGACCATGATGTCTAATACACATTTCTATATAATTATACATGTGTCAGGTCAAGTGTCAGGTGGAATTTATGGCTGCTTACTTTATGATTTTCATACTCAGCAATAGCCATAGCCACCAGATGCAATTTTAAGTTAATAGGCCTAATATTAAAGCAAAGCACTCTGCTGCAATGTTCTTGAGTTGTTTAACTCTTGGTCTCTTTGAAGCTGCTTTGACCAGTTCTTTTCAGAACTACTCTACTGGCTGTATCTTGGAATTCTCCACCTATTCCAGTTAGTGTTTTCATAACTTATCATTTGGGCAGCAGCCCATTGTGCCCCTGAAAAGGCATATTTTGAGGTACTTGCCCATCTGAG